GGAGGACTCGCAGACCATGTCGAAGAGGGTGGCCTCATCCTCGTACTCCTCCACGGGCTCGCCCAGCTCCGATGGCTCGCTGCAGTAGGAGAAGTCACAGGAGTCACGGGTGCGGGTGCAGTCCAGCTTGGCCTTCCCTGGCCGACCCGGGTAGCGCTCCAGGGGGCTGGCCTGCGCCTCCGAGGGCACCCCCAGCATGGGCCAGCACTACAGCCCCACATGGCCGTCAGGTTGCCGTGGGCCCCCTCGGAGAGCAGGTGCTTGAGGTTGGGGATGAGGCTGCAGATGGTCCCATGGCTGTGGGCCCAGCTCACCAGCTTGGAAAGGTTTTCGGAGGAGGTGTGAAGGCAGTCCTCCATGGTACAGGATCAACAGTGCCTCGCCGCTGGGAAGTCAGCTGAAGACACGGTTCAGATCACAGGGTCTGGACACTCAGGGTCACGTGTTGCCAAGCTCATGCTTGCTGCTCGCCTGCAAACAGAGAGCAAAACCCCGCTCTTCAGCACTCCCGAAGCAAGACCATGTTTGCACAGGCAAGTGAAACTTTCGTAAGATCAGCTAAACCCATTTCACTCTCATCGCATGTGCTCCAAAGCACATTTCTCAAAAGAGCACCTGCTTTTAAGCAGCCTCGTTCCTCGTTCTGCCTACAAAAAGTCTCCCTGTAAACCCAAGGTTTCTGCAATACACAACTCAAATAAGATGAAAAGTCTTTTTAAAAACAAGCTAGTTCAGTATCAGTGGCAAGATAATTTGAAGCTTAAATCTCTGACAAAATGCAAATGCAGCCCAAAAGATGGCAATTGCGTCTTCATACTTAGGAAATGAAATTTAAATAAAATCATAAACCATACAATTCACCTTGAACATCAGGGTGGCAATCAAACACCAGCTCTGCCGCTCCCTCTGTACCTGATGAAACTTTATGACATTTTACATCATGTATGCACATTTCTCAAATGTATCCAATTATCTCCTTTTCAACTGAATTTCAGCGGCATCAAAGTGAAGGCCAGGAACTTTCATTTTCAATATAAGGAAAAAACAAACAAGTTCACCCTTCACTGTGATATACTGACAGTTTTCAGTTGTCCAAAGGCTTAAGAAAAGCTTGAGGGACCTGCAAGGTTTAAGTCGTAACCTTCCTTAAGATTTGAGAGATAATATTTTGCTTTTTTTACCATATTGTTTATTTTCCCGGATCTCAATCATGATTCAAGACAAACACTTGCCATTTTCATTGGAACTATTTAGAAATTTGCAGCACAAGGCATGGACCTCTGGGGCCAAGGCCATGAATCCTACAGTATTTCAGGTCAAACGTAAAAGTACAAAACCTGTTGCATGTTCATGTTTTCCTGCCAGAAACTGCTTCCTGCCCACACGGTGCAGATACTTTCCAGGCAAGGTCTCATCCCACACAAGGCTGCAAGCCCTCAACTTCTCAGGACTTCAGCCCTAGGACTTTCTAGAAGACCTTGCAGCCCCAGCCCCAGGCATTGGACTGACAGACCCAGGCTGAGCTGAAATGGGGCATGGGCAGGGGGTGGGTGGGGGTCCCCGGGCAGGCTGGGCAGAGCTATTAAGGCCCCTGGATGCCCTGACAAAAAATTAGGGTTGCAGTGGGAACACTCAGTTTGTGTATGTCTGTTGGCCTCTTGTATCTGCTCTAAATCATCTGTTCAAATCATCAACTGTAGGAGGTTGTTCACAGGAACATTTGCTGTTAATAATTATTTTTTAACATTTATTTTGCTTATCATGTTCTGTATTCCACACACTTCAAGATTTAAGCTGCAGTCAAGGACCATGTTCCTGTTATCTGGGCATTTCAATACTTAAAATGTCTGTGTAATCCTAGAGCAATTATCACATTGAGAAAGATGGCACAAACCAGTTTTCACACAGATCCCACTACTGGGATACTGGACCCCTCAGTAGTCTATTTCTGAGGTGGGAAATTATTACCCCCTTCTGTAAAGATCCTCAAGGACCGTGGCTGAAATAGGTCAAAGTCAACGGTGAAGCTCTAGCTGACTTCAACAGGTCCAGGTTACTCGGACTCCAGAGATCTGTAAGGAAGTCAGATGGACTTCACAGATGGACCTCAACATACAGCCATCACCCAGGGACCTCACTGTTATTAATACAGAACTGGACAGTCTCTCTTTCTTCACACTATTGTCTTTTAAAAATGAAGGTTGTTTGAGTTGCTGGAGAAGATCAGTAATAAAAGAGCTCAAACAACTCAAAATTTCATGGTTGCTGGGCACAGGCCGGGATGAGACTGTTTTGAGGTTACTGCTCAGCTAAATTAATGGAGATTAAATGTACATTTATATTCCTCTAATGATATCCATGTTTCCTATCTCGCCAGCTGTTACCTGCTAGAGGTCACTTTTTCAAACAAGGGATCACATCTCAAAACAATTTCAATTAGGTAAATATATATTTTAAATTATTAATTGCCTGAGTGGAACTTTTTTCATTAAAGTAATCAAGGGATACGAAAGAAACTGCGGCACAGTCAGATGATAGCAAAGTCTGAGTGTCACTCATTGTATACACCTGATGACAGAGCATTCACCTCCAGTGACTTTCTCAGACAGCTCAAAGTAACTGGGAACTTCTGCTCATTTCTGCAGGCTTGTTTGGAGGCTCTCCCTAACCTTCTCCCTCCTGTGTTTTGTGAACATGACCTGCGAGACTTGGAGCTCCCATTGTTCTCATCTCGTTCATATTTTCACATAGGCAGAAAAGCCCTTTACATTTTTCCGAACTGAAATGCAGCATTCCCGCCAATGTTACACCTTATTTTGTTCTTCTGTCCTCTACTACACAAGCACATTTAGACGCCAAATGAACGGCGTCATGGCTCAAAAACACAGCTACGTGGTGGCTAACTGCCCCTGGAGAATGCTTGCCCTAAAATAAACACAAATTACTACCTGCCTACTCGCTTGCTCTTCAAAGTCGCCTGCCAGATAGCTGCAGATAACCGTGTTTGCTCTGTGCTGAGGGAGGTGAGGAAGCTGTGTTTCAATGGGTTTGCAGCCTCTGTATTCCCTGCCCACCCACCCTTGTTCACCAGGCAAAGGGCAGCCTGTGCAAATGAAAAGCAGAAACAGAATGGTGAAGTATTCCCTCCAATTCCCTCTATGAGGCTCACCAGGGGTCTTTCCTCCCCACCCAGGCACTGTTTCTCACTGGAGGGGTGAAGAATGGAGCCAGCATGGGAATTCCTAGTCATTTTGCAAATTTCTAGGGTTTTTTTCCAACATCTTATGCATGACATGGAGGGAAGTCCTGGATAATGGATGAACAGGAAGAAGCACATCATTAGGAAACAGAGTAAAAATGGTGTAAGATTCAAGCTTGGTTTTGCAGTAGCTCAAGCCAGGGTGCATGCACAGAGAACAGCTGCTACAATAAATTCCAGCTTCTATTACTGCCCGCGTGAAACCCCAGAAATGGCACAGATCTTGCAGCATTACTTGCAACAAAAAAGCTCCTTGCATGACCAGTGCCTCTGTGCAGTATAATAAATGCAGTAGGTCCCCACTTTGTAAGCCTTTTAGGCACTGGGGAAGGCTCCGCTTCTCAAACATACAGCTTTTAAACATCTAAGTTGTTTGTTATATATGGTTGTTTGCTTTAAAACTTTAAAGATACACTGTCAATCTTGACAGGGGTCAAAACCCCCAGAACATCCACATTTCTGCTGACTGGTGTATTCAAAGATACGGACATACAATTCACCCTGCCACCAAAGAAACACCAAAAGGTGGGAGGAGTAATGCCACACAGAAGGCAAAGAGGACAATCTGGAAAGTGAACAGGGGAAAGGAGGGAGAGCTACAGACAGGGCTGTAGTCAGGAGCTACATCAGTGCAAACCCATGGGAAAGCATGGAGCTGGTCAGTTGCTGCATGACCAAGGGTACACCCCTCAAGTCTTGGAAGACAGAAAACCCAGTTTGGCTGAAGAACCATTTTCTGCACAGGAAAATGAGATCAGGTCAGCTGCCTCAGTATAGATTGTTTGTGCAGGGCTGAAAACCCAAAGACATGAGTTATTCAGAAGCAATGTGCCTTCGGTTCACCAACAGCCGCGGAAGTTGACAATGGCACTTTGGCAGGGAGGGACTCGCCCTGCAGAAAGCACAGCAAATTCATCATTATCTGCCTGGTTTCCTGAACAGGGACCTTGTCTGCTCAGTCAGACAGCATGCTGCTGGCTGACAGCCTGCTCTTGTTTGCTAAATCACATTTTAAAGATTATATAAAGTCCTTCATTCAGGCTGGCAAGATTCAGTAAGATGACTCATGCTTAATAACCTGCTAACATGTATACTCTGAAATCATACAGTAGCTGGCAAAAACACGCTATAGCTTCAGTGCAAATAACAATGGTGTTCTAACTGCTTTACAGATGGTGAAGCCTTAACCTTCCACAGCACTTTTCTGCAGTTCAGAGCCTAGCAATATCTAATTCAGAGTGAAACATGTCCAGGTGCTGGAAATTCACTGCAGCTATCTGGACCCTAAATTAAGAAATCAATGTTTTGGCTTGTTTAGCTTTGACGACTTCATTTATAACATGTCACTGTAGTGACTAATGTGTACAGAATATGTGCTATGCCAGAAAGCATTATTGTAGCAAAACCATTCCTTGAGTTCTGTTAATGCATTAACTGGAATATCACTTGATTTGTGAAAGGGAGCATTTTCTGTGTCCAGAACCAGGGTTTTGCCTAGGAGATCTACTTGGTGACCAAAGGGTAATGAAAAATAGCAACCTCTGAAGAGCATCCCTCTTCCATGTTCTAGGATGGGACTTGGCTCAGCTAGTTTTATGCAGACAAAATTCTTCCTGATTTTACATACAGCAGTAGGAACAGGAACAGGTCCTTTGTTACGACCCAGAGAAGAAGCATTGACACCAGGCAAGTCCCAGGACTTGCTGTGGCCACCTTGAACCCTTTCCTTTATCCCATGCAGAGAATGAATGAACACTGGTGGGGAGCAAAGACCTGGCTATCTCAGCTACCTTTCCTCCTTTCCCACCTTGTGCATGAGGGTGTTGCAGTGGAGTTTTGGTCAGGACCTCGTGGGACGTTCTTCAGGACAAATGGGGAAATCTGTGATGTGGCTCCCCCAGAAAGCAGGCAGCAGAGGTGAGGATGCAGTGAAGAAGCTGAACACAAAAAACCGGGACGAAGCAGAGGAGTGCAGTGGGAAGCGTGTGCCCTCCAGCAGCATCTGCATGCTGGAAGTTACGTTTGGTGGACCTACAGCCCATGGAGGGTGACGGGTGCATTTTGTTGTAAAGAAGGCAAGAAACCTTGTTGGTATCCTGTCCTCTCACGGACTCATGGGCAGTTAGTGATAGATTTTCTTCCTAGAGTAATGTTAGACAAGTCCATACAGACTAACTTGCATCACATAAATGTATGTTTGAAATTCTATTA